CAATGGTAATTACCTGGTTGTATCAAGGATCAGTTGATTTTGTTGTTGTTTTCTTTGGCACATTGTATGATAATAAAGAACTGCTTAGGGGAATACAGTGTATCAGGTGTCTCATGATCCCTTGGTCCCAGTAAAGAGGCATTGATTTTTTCAGTAAACCTATAAACCTTACTGTTTCAGGATGTGATTGCGGGGTTTTTGTGATCGCGGTCATTAAACATCTATGCTACCATTTCCTTGGTATGACATCACAGTCATTAATGAATTCAGTCAGCACAAAGACTGTGAGTCACTTGAGATGTCACATGAAAGATTTGATAAAGGAACTGCAAACACAAAGTCTTAATTGAATGCATCAAACGTACATCATGGGACAGATGATCAAGCGGACAGCGCTGCTCTCACATGACATTGAATTGGAAGAGACAAGTTAATGAATCAATCAGCAAGCAAAAGCATGTAAAGCCAGGAAGTATACGAGGGGTGTGGCTTCTATAATGCAATATGCATTTTTGCACTTGTGTTGATAAATTTTCAAATTTTTGGGAATGCCAACGAAACATTTTCAAAAGTTCTTAATTTCTTTAAAAAACGTTTTGATATTGATGTTTAGTAGGTGTTGGCATGTTTTATTTTTTTGTTTTAGTGCATACTAACAACAAACCGAATGCTACATATGTCATTACACTTAATTCTATAGAGATTTTGCAGTTCATGTCGTTCATGGAAATGCAGCTCCAACTGGAGGACAGAACAATGGATTCTAGTTCCCAAGAAGGCAAAAATCTTCTGTTTTGTCCTCCAGATTAAGGTCCTTTACTCCATATGCTAGGGGTCTATATTAGGTAATTCCTCAGACTTCCCATGGAATAATGCTGTAGAAGATGCAGTTTATTCCCCGGCTTTAATGCATGTGTTTAAAGCAAGAAAAAGAGAAGAATGTCAACAATAAACGATTCCCTTTTCCCGTGACTAAATTTTACGCTTGTCCGGTAGTCAAAATATTATATCATTACAGCAAAAATTTAAAAGATGGAAGGTCACTTCAAAATAAAACAAGTACATTTTACAGTAAGAAAAAGGGAAAAATCAAAAGCATTGTTTCAAGACATCATCTCGAGGTTCAAAGCCGCGATCCTCAGTCCGACGCCGCTATTCGAGTATGATCTTGAATTTGTGCAAAAGGGTTTGAAAAATAAACGGTTCTATCAAAGTAATAATGAAACAAATATCGTTTTAAAAAATGAACATAACTAGAACAACTGTATTTCAGTTAGAAGAGAGAAAAGGGAGAAAGAAAGTTAGATTGTTAGATTGCGCAGATTGTAATCATCATTATCATACGTGTAATCATCGTAGTTTCAATGCGCAGACTGTAATCAGGACTATGATACGTGTAATCACCGTTA